ATTTCACATGTATTAAGAAAATTAATTTACTAATATCTTTTTTTTTTAAATCCTTTTTATAAATATTTTTAAAATAATGTAATTAAAAATATCATATATTAAAGAAAAGATATTTTAAAGATAATAAATTAAATTAAGTAAAAATAGATTAAATTCTCTTATATTTAAAAAAATGTACATTTTTTGTTATTTATAATATAGAACTTAAGAAATATATAAACAAACGTGTTTTAAGGCAAGACTTAAGTATAGTAATAATATCATCATAATTGATGTTATTTTTTAATCAGAGTTAGATTTTTACCTTAATAACATGCATAAGTGTATATTATCAAGATTTGCATTAGTTATATATGTATGTTACAAAGGCAAAACTTTAACTGTAACTAGATAACAATCCAAAAGTTCATATGGTATTGAACTTCAATTTTACCCTATGTTTTATAGGAGTTACGCATCCCATAGTAAGACTCATTTGTGATTAAGTTACTAGGGAAAATAATTTGATACAATGTAATTAAAGAAAAGTTAAAGGAAATACGTACGGAGGCTTAGATTAGCATGAATGACTTTTATGTCAAGGTTATGTTATAGTATTTATTTTTTTAGGAAATATATTTATATTAATAGAAGGGTTATATTTTGTTAATTTTATTGGGGTATTTGCAAACATAATTCTATAATGGTAAGATACTGTCTATTTTAAATTAATTTTTTTCATAATTTTATTTTTGTTATCACTCGAAGGACCTCTTAATCAATCGAGAATATATATGGATTCTTATAAACCTTTATTTCACTTTTTTTCTAACGATGTTGTTCTTTGTTTTTATTCTAACAATCATCTCTTATAATAAGGGACATACACTAGTACAAAAGAGACATTTTACGTTTGTTATTTTAGACTTTTTACGTCGAAAAAAAGTCTGACGTCAATGCGGGAGACGTAAATTTACGTCGGGTGTTTTAACCGACGTAAAATTATGTCGGACATCCTCCACGTCCGACATAAAATGGTTGACAGACAAACAAAAAAGTAATCTCAATCCGTGAACACGTCTAGAAATTACCCAAATGTTTCAATCCAATTGGAGAGATAGGTTCATAATCAAAAATGGGTTTCGTCGTCGTTGTCATCGCCGCTCACCGTGACCGAAAAACATCCAAAGGTCTCATACCACCATTGCCAGAAATCGCTAGAGGAAAACCCTAACAATGTATCCTCCAATCCAATCCAATCGCCGCCACCAAAACAATGTAAAAAAATGTATTTGCACTAACCTTAAATCCCAAAAGCTTCGAGTAGCCTTAAGCGCTAACCTAAGTAAGACGCGCACCAAAAGCTTCAATCCAATCGGATAAAGCGATCTGCAATGACAAATGGATGTCGCCGACACCGTCCCCGCCATTCACCGTGACCGGAAACACCTAGGTTGCGTACAAACTTTTAGTCGGAATAGTCTCCTAAACTTTTTGCACATAGAAAACCCTTGCGCGCGTGAAAAAATGAATCAGGGGAAAGGGATATAATAAGGTTTTTACGTCGGACATCGTGGTGTCCAACGTAAAAAACTTGGATATAATTTCAAAAATGTCACCGTATTTTTTTTACGTTGAATTTTTCGTTTTCCAACGAGAATACAGTGACGTAAAAAACATATTTTGTATTAGTGATAGCTTTTCATGTAGTGAAATTTGTCTTGATATATCATTATATCATTTTTTGTTATAATTGTGAGTTTTTTTTTTACCACAAAATCTAACATGCGACATTTGTATCAATGTTGTAATTTGTATGAGTTATTGGTTATTACTGAATCCAACCAATGATTCTAATACCATTGTTATGGTTTCTTTAAGATTAAAATCCTCGCAATTTTACTTTTTGTCATCACTCAAAATGTCTCTTAACTAACAAAGAATATGTATGTGCTTTCATAAATCCTTATTTTTCTTCTTGTTTTAGCGATATGAGATTTTGATTATATCACAACACTTTAATCACTATTTGGTAATGGTTAAAGTCACAAGTTTATGTAATTGTCAGAGAAGATTGATTCTACGTACAATAGTTAGATATAATTTCTTATAAACTAGTCAAAAGGAAATTATAACTAACTCAAACTCTCAAGTGTGAAACTCCAATAAAATCAATTCAACTTGCTCCAACTTATCAAGTCATTTTGGATCCATAAATTATCATGTCTATTTATTCTTGTGTTTTGTCCTTTTAAATATTTTTAAAAAATCAAACAAAAATAAAAATAGATCAATTTAATCTAATCCACACAAACTAAGTTGGACAAAGAAAGTGTGTCTTATAAGAAATTTAAGTTAACAACCTAACCCTAACTTTCCTCCGTATGGCCCATTGACATTGGTTAAGTCAAACATTATGTTTTGAAAACCGTAGTTCCTTGAGCTAAATTTGATATATTATGACAAAAACATTTTGTCTATGACCTAATAAGAAGAGTGGTTAAGATGGATACTAATACACTTAAAAATAAAAATAAAAAGAAGGTTCACACATAACTGGAGGTCCCCGGACAAATTGGAGACAAAGGTGTAGAAAACAACTCCAAAATTAGTTAAATCAAATAGATATTTTTTAAACCAAAATTAACCTAATATATTTTAAAATACGAAGCATTAAGTTGTTATCTTGTTATTCCATTTGACAAAATTTAACATAATTAATCAAGATAATATGTAATTATAATTTGAAGACTGAATTGACGAAGAATCACATTGTGTATGAAACCATTGCGATGTCACTATAAATATAACTTTTTTTTGGTAATTAGTAGCAAGTACAAGATATACCGACATAATTAGATTTCTCCATATTTATTATTTTTAATTAATATATTTAATAATAATATAAGTTTGTCTTAATATTTGGAAACTTTAATGAATGAGATGAAAAATAATTGAATTTAAAATGTTTAATAAAAACTCTAATAAAATAAATTGTGGGCATTTAGTGTAATCTTATTTTCCTTAACATTGAAATTATGAGCCCATTTAATTTTAGGAGGAGAACTTTTATTCATGATCCAATAGCTTATTAAACCCATTTATTATTAAGCCTATGGTATTGCTACCTTTTCTTTTGTTGTTTGGAGTGAGTCCATGTACTAATTAAGTAAGGTGTAACACTTGCCATCTTCTTACCTTCTCCCTGGACAGAAATCAACTGACCTGGTTGTTTTAAAGCCCATCTTGCTGATCCACAATCGATGTGAATACACCGAGCCCAACAATTGTATGTGTGATTCAATCTCATTGACTACCTACGGGCTTTATCTTTATAAGAAAAAAATTTCAGCGTCTACTGGATCCCGTCCCTTCTTCATGTTCAAAAATTCCAAATAAAGCCCAAACTAAAAATTTAATCACTAATAACGTATAGGAAAGCACAAACTAAAATTGAACAATAAATCTTTTAAATATTTTCAGCACTTATATAAACAAAAAATTATTTTAAATAAAAATTGAGTTAGTAATGAAAAGTTGCTTCATAATGAGTAAATAGAGAGAGCTCTCCTAAATCTAGAAGATATATCACCCTTAAAAGAAACACAAATTTTGTTACAGAAGAACTAGCGTAGGAGGAATAAATTATTCCTTAGAATTATAATTAATTATTAAAATAATAATTATAATCTTTTAAATGAATAAATAGTATATATATATATATATATGGCAAGTGTAGTTTTATTTTTTCAAAAATAAAATATATTTGTATATCTCTTGTTTGCGAAAACAGAGACTACAAATAAAAAATTTAAAGAAAGACAATTTCTATTTAGATTTCTCTCATTTATTAATACAATTCCTTTTGTATATTTATATTTTTAAAATTATTTTATTGCTAAAAGATTAAGTTAAAAAAATATTCAGATAATAATACATTCCATGAACCACGAGAATATAATTTGCCCTCAATCATTCAACAAGTTACACAAGACAATTATGTGTCTACCTAATCCTTAAATAAAATCAAAATTGGTATCCATATCGCATAAATAATAGTAGGAAAATGATAGTCTCGTGCAGGTGAGACTTTATATGCTCTCTTCGATCTCGGGGATAATTTTCTTTTAAAAAATTATAAAAATAATTGAGTAAGTTGTGTTTCTAAACACCACTTCTAATGTGAAACTCTCTTTTAAAAAAAAAAATCTCATGTCAAACATGAAATAAATAAAATTGTTTCACTTCAAATTCAGATTATAAAATAAACGCCTTACGTTAAAAAAAAATGAAAAACAATGTTAGAATAGTGGTTAATCCACTATTCTAACATGGTATCAGAGCTATTTAGATCCACTTTAAAAATGGGCCACCCACCATTGATGCATGCCTCATAGGCATGAGGGGTGTATTGGGAAAAACCCAAGTCCCGCCAATCCTAGATCATTAAAAAGGGCCACCCACCATTTATCCACGTACCAAGCCCAATAGTGCTGGACGTGAGGGGTGTATTGGGAAAAACTCAAGTCCCACATCGACTAGAGATTAGGCAATTGAATAATATATAAGTGAAAAACAACCCTCACCTTACAAGCCGGTTTTGTAGGGTTGAGTTAGGCTTAATCCACTATTCTAACAAACAATAATTATGAAAACATTTTGAAATTTAAAAATCAAGAAACCAACTTGAAAATTAAACTAAATATACTAGTCAATGTAAATTGACATGTTACATAATTTAGTTCAAGTTATATTTCTGACGATATGAGTGATATTTTTTATTATCATAAAATTTTACTTTAGTGAAGAATAGTAAAATTCATTAATTAAGCAAATTAAACAAAATTGGTGGCTTATAAAGAGACGTGACGTGAGTGTGGTAGTGTAATTATTATTTATTAATTTTGGGAATGTGTAATGCATAGTTATTAGTTGATGAGGCATCTGAGGAGTGGATTCGGAGCATCTTGCGTGAGATCCCATTCTCCAACCATAGCTTCCTCCGCCGTATAAATATTACATTGATCTCTCTCATATTCAATTCAACTTCACCAACATCATGAAAACTGTTTCTCCTCTGGAAGCCCAAGCCTTCAACTACTTGAGCTTCGGTTTCCTCAGCCTCCTCAACAACTTCTGGACCTGGCTCGCCCTCAGTTTCTGGAGGACCCAAACCCCCAACCCCGAATTGCTCCCACCACCCCATGCCCCGATTCCCCACGAAGCGGGCCCCGTTGCCGTAACTGGGCCTGCTCCATCTGTGCCCGTTGACGGGCCCACCAAGGGGAAGTTTACCTTGTACTTCGAGGATGATGAGATCGAGAGGGAATGCGAGAGCGAGGTAACGGTAACGGAGGAGATTGACGGGAGAGGGGAGTGGTGGGAGAGCTGGGAAAGCTCCTTGAGGATGAGACGAGGAGAGAACGAGAAGGGTTGGTACACGTGTCAGGATTTGACGGCGCTTAACGGTAGCGTTGTCAAGTTATGGATGCCTTCTGCCTTCACCACCAGGGATAGTTCAACCTGTGTTTTTCTATATGCTAATAATACTCATCTTACCAATACAATATTCTTAAATTAGATACATAGTAGCCACCTTTTATGCAGAATCAATGTATATATATATGCTACTACTTGTGCCTAATCATCATCATAATAATCATGATCGTGCACAAGGGTTAATTAATGCTTGTTTATTTCAGCGGCTTTGATCCAGAAATTTCTGATGATATGCACATCCAAAAGTAAGCAAATTTAACATGGTCTTAATTAAGACTGTTGGTTATCTGAAATATTAATGGGCAATTGACCTACGTTAATTAAAGGGAACACGAAAAAACGTTGTTTACTGCGTGCTGATGTATATTAACTGGAAAGGCTCTTTAGTTGTTTATCATTTCATGTTTGGTGGCCATACGTTCCAATTGCACTGTCAAGTGGATCTGCGTGCATGCTGCTAACCCTTCGTTTCGATGCGGAAAAGAAAAGAATCCAACAAGATACAAGTGAGACTGAACGAAAGAAGATAGTAAGACAGAAAATAAATAAACTTTTCAATTATTTGGATCAAAAGATTAAAAAAATTATATTTAATTGCTTGAAAATAAAAAGAAAGGAAAAACATATGTTGATGTAAAATTTACCAGTATGTAAAATAAAACGTGGTATAATTATTAAAACTTAAGATTATTGGTTAATATTATTAAAACTTTATAATTAATTATTGATATTTCATAATCAATTATGTTAATTTAATTCCCAAATCAACTAAATGAGTTAGCATTTATAATAGTTTTCATGTTTTCAATAGATTTAAATGTTAAAATTTAGAGAGTTTTGTACTCTATGATTTTAGTTCAATTCAAACAGGATTATATTTAATTAAAAAAATACTTGTAGTTCTTACAGTAATAAAAATATTTTTTAACAAAAATTTTATGATTCATTTTTAAAATTGTTTTATTTCTTAATAAATAATTTTTTTTACACGCAAATTTAAATATTAAACTCTTCTCTTTGCTCTCAAAAAATAAAATTATCTGTCAACATGCTAGGGTGATAGTATCCTTAAAAATATCGTATTTCTCATCTACTGACAACTCAATAATGGCTTGATTAATCTGTCGATGCCGCCAAATATCATAACTAAAATGTTAACTGAAGTTAATTTGTTGCTGGTAATATTAGGATTGATTCCACAACACTGGTTGTGGCAACAAATTGAGTAGTAATATTCTCCATCATTTGAGAATATGCCAACATATAATAATTACACTTAACTGTTTCAGATTTTTTTATCTTAATTAATACAGTGATACTGAAAAGTACAGACACAAACAAAATCTGAAAATCAGGGTTCACATGCTTCACTCGTGACATATGTAGCAGTGTGTTGATTGTGACCCTGTACGAAACTGTTCGAATATTTATTTGCTCAATTGCTCTGGCCTGTGTATTTAGAATTAGGGGTAGACAAGGAAGGGATGAAAGCATATTTTTATCTCATCAATTTTAATTAGAAAGAATTAGATTGATTTTTTTATTTTTAATTTCAAATAAAAATTAATTTAATTTAATCATATTTAATTTAGATTAGATCAATTTATTATATTTATTCATAAATAAAAAATAAAAAATAAATAAATAATAAAATCACATTAAATATATACAACATGTAAAATATATTGTCATCAAATGATAAAATAATAATATTATAAACTTGTTTATAACCATTATAAAATATTAAGCACTTCTTAAAACAATAAAAAAATACAAACTTAAAAAATAAATATCATTAAATTAAAATTTAAATATATCCAACAACAAAATCTCAACAAATGTCCAACAGAAAATCTAAATCCATCATGCTCAAATTTGCAAGTTCCACACAAAAAAAATCCAAATCAGCCAAGCTCAAATATGCAAGCTCAACACCAGAAAATCGGAATTTGCTTGTATTAAAATATGCAAGCTCAGCAATAACAAACCTAAATCTTAATGAGTGAATGAGTTTCATTTTTATGATTAATGACTAGCCGATCTATAAAAAAAAATAGATTTAACGGGTCACTTTAAAAATAATAATAATAATAATAATAGCCCAAATTTAATAACAAAATAAATATAATAAATTAATAATATGAAACAAAATATTAATATAATTGATGAATGGATAACTTTGGTTCAATATGTTTAGAAGAAGAAAAAAATTGAAGTTCGAACCGAACTGATTTGATTTTCAATTTTCAAATTCAAACTCTGATAGTCTGATCCAATATTGTTTTTCTAATTTTGATTAGATTGAATCTTTAAATTAGTGGATTGAAAAAAAAAAATGTAGTATCCACCCTTGTTTAAAATTGTATGATATACTATTTTTGGTAACTATGTGTGTGTCTAGTAATAACCAATTGACTCAAATGGAGTTAAATGGAGTTTTTGTCTTTTTTTTATAACATAATGTGTTTTTTTTAATGTGTGATTTTAAACTAATGTTTAAACATACTCTATAGCATTGATATGAAGTCATTAATAATTAATTTCTATTAGGAAATATAACTTATTATTTTTAATAAAATATATTTTTTTAACATTCACTATTAGAAAAAGTGTCATTTTTCTATAAAAAATATTCGCAAAATCTTTTTACAAATTTTCTTATAATAATAATTTCACAAAAAGAAATTATGAATTTATTTTTAAAAAATAATTTACAAATTTTTTAATAAAAAATAATTTATAATAAATTTTTATAAATTTTGCTACAATTTTAATGATCATAAAAAAATTTATAATAAAAATTTATAAAAAAATATTGTAAAAATTTTATTTTGTTTTTTTGCATGTTTTCTTCAAAAATGAAACGTTTATTTGATAAGACTCGAATGTATAACTTTTTATTTATTATAGTTTTTTTTATAGAAAAAATAACAAATAGTCTTCACCCGATATGCCATGTCTGTATATAATACACATACACGTATACAGATATACTTACTACTATACAGATGGACTTACTACTATACGATATATAAAAATAGATACATATATCATTATCTGTCTTTGATTAATATTTAAGTGACTTTAAATAATGGTTATGGTGGCCGCCTCTCTCACCTGCCCATGAAATCGTTAACAAGTTAATAAATACCGTAAAAAAAATGAAAACTTTAAGAACAAAAAAAAGACAAATCCAGGGGAGTTATAACAACCAATGACAAATCCCACATACGACACCATTACCAACCAAACTAATGACAAATACTTAGCTAGGGATGCACTTATGTCGTCATTTCTATAGTTTTGACGTGGAGAAACACACAAAACCATACTGTGTTCAGCAAATTAATGAGACAAATGATATAATGTAAGACATATTTTTGGTTTTAGGCGGTGATGGCCACAACTCTCATATGGAATGAGTGGCTCAACATTGAATGAAATGTATGAAGAATCTCCGCCTCTTATTCTCACCACAGTCCACAACATTATTCTTAATGTTTTATTTTATATTCTGCGTGTTTATGTGGCGCTGTCTCTGCAACAAAAGTATGCATGATAAAGGGGACCAGTGAATGCTTATATTTAATTACTGCCATTTTGAACCATGCACGGATAACAATATGGTATCGGCTAATTTCTTCTTTAACATTATTTTATCTATATGATATCTTGAGATTAAAGTGAAAGAAAATTAACTATGGGAAAAAATAAAAGAATATAGAAAGTGAGCTAATTTTACACCTTATTTGGTAAATAAGAAAACTTAATTAATTAAGGATATATGAAATGATATAAATATCAATAAGGATACATATAAAAATAAGGATATTTTAATATTTGTTTGAAAAATCGTCTTTCTCTCATTTTCTTTTCGTTTTAGAAAGAATATAATTAAACATGTGTTCTTACTTATTTATTAATTTTTTGTCTCCACTTATTAAAAAATCAACAAAAGAGAGAATAATTTTACTATCTTTTCCTGCTCTTTTGGTTTTTCTTTATATTTTCAACTGTAATAAATATAGTGTATTTTTTTTTTCTTTTATCAGAAGAAAATTTTCATTAAGTCGGGATTATGAAAATTGACTTTGTATTAGCCCCGATGAAAATTGACGTTGTATCCATTTCCTATCCATATATTTGCAACCCTACTCTCAAATATTTATAGATATTTGTTAAAATGATTTTTTTTTAAAAATTCAAAATAAAAAAAAAATTGAACTAAAATAAATATTTGTAAAACATGTATATACTAAAATTAAATAATTTTGAAATAAATATTTATACTAAAAAAATTTAAAGCAACTTATATATTTTGTATATACTTAAGGAGATTTAAATAATTTCAAATAGCGAGTACCTATAAAAAGTACTTTATTATTCATATTCGCCTGTTATTTATATGCGTGTGGACAAAATTATTCGTTTTGCTTGCAAATATTCATTAAACTAATAACCATTTTCAATTTGTGACAGATTTTTAATTAGTATTTTGCAAGTACAAGTTATTTTTTGTTATCCTTAACTCAACCTATTTTAGCTTTTTTATAAGATGTTAAGACAATTGTTTTTAAAACGAAATTTTAAAAAATAAGTAATATATTTAAAAACGAGGAAAATAAAATATAAAAAAGTTTTAAAAATGAGTTGAATTTGTTATTGAATTAAAGTGTAATTGCATGAACTGTTTACGTACTCTTTAAAATAAAAAAATAAAAAATAAAAATAAAAAAACCACTGCGAAACTATATTCATTGTTTATGCAAAAAGTTTTTATTTATTTATTTCAAAGATAACCTTTCAACTTGTCTTAATATAATTATAACTTGTGAAGTGAATTTTTTTTTTCATTTATATATATTAATATGATTATCTTATTTGTCGATGTTGAATCTCAATTCTTCATACGTTTACATATAATTTTATCTTTGTTACCAACAATTTTCTCTTCATAATCTCATGTTATTGCATCACGGCCGTTATCATCGTCATTTGTATTACATCCTTATAGTTTCATTGTTGTCTCACTACCGTCTCTGTCATTTCTCATCGTTAACTGTCATGAATATATTATTGATTTAATTTGTTGTTGTACGTTGTTGGAAATTTTTAATCTTTATCTTTATATTTTTTATTCTTTATGCTAAATTAATATGAAAAGGTTCGTTACCTTGATCCTCGACATGTTTGATGGATACAATGGAACAAGAGAAAACAATTTAATTTCATGGCCATGGATTGTTGAATATGAAGGCCACAAGAAAATCCTCAAACAATTGAATTCAGTTCAGTACGAATCACTGAGAAAATGATCAAACAATTTTAAGTATCAAAAGCTTTAAGGGTATGTTGAAACTAATTGAAATGGATATCAATCTCTTATTTCCCCGATCCACTGGTTAATTTATACAAGTCTACCGTTCTTCTGTTTTTGGTAATTATAGGCTCACTTTTAGGAGTAGGAGTTTTGATGGTTATGTTTAAATTTAGTACATTGTGTGAATTGGTGCACTCATGACTCATCATGATTATGTTATCCTCTGTATTGATGCGATATATAACTATCATGCGCTTTGTAGAAGATAAAAAATATTTTCTATTATGGCTTTAGCTTTAACATTTGTAATGGAAGTTGCTGTAAATCCGCAGCTTAATTTTATTATTTATGAAAACAGTTATTATATAAAACGACCGTAACAGAATTACAATCAAATAAAACAAATTCTAACAAATGAATATTATCAGTAAAATTAATTAACAAACTATTTGTTATAAGATTAACAATATCAAAATAGATGAATCTTATCCTAATACTCCCCTTCAAGTTAGAACATGGAGGGAGGAAATGCCCAACTTGGACAATAAAAATTGAAACTGCTTTCTACCGAGAGCTTTAGTTAGAATATCTGCAGGTTGGGAAACAGTCCGAATGTGTTGTGTGGAAATAGTTTTGGACATCACATGTTCTCGAACAAAATGACAGTCGAGTTCAATGTGTTTTGTCCTTTCATGAAAAACTGGATTAGAAGCAATATGAATAGCAGATTGACTATCACAATATAGTGTCATTGGCATGGAATGAGAGACACCAAGATCTTGCAGAAAAGCTTTGATCCATAGTAGTTCAAAAGTGGCAGCTGCCATGGAACGATATTCGGCTTCAGCAGAGGAACGAGAAATGATGTGTTGCTTCTTAGATTTCCATGAAATAGGGGATTGACCGAGTGTGATAAAGTAACCAGTGATGGATCGTTGAGTAATAGGACAACTTGCCCAATCAGAATCGCAATATGCACGAAGATGAAGATCACAAGTGGAACGGATAAGTAGTCCTTGACCTGGATTACCCTTGATATAACGCAGGACTCGCAACACTGCATCATAATGTTCTTGGAGCGGATGTTGAAGAAATTGAGAAAGTGTATGTACAACATAACTCAACTCAGGTCGAGTAATGGTAAGATAAAGAAGGCGACCTACAAGACGTCGATAACGTGTGGGATCATCGTAAGCTGGACCATCTGCAAGGGCCAATTTATGATTCTGATCCATGGGAAAATCATATGGTTTACACCCAAGTAATCCGCATTCATGCAAGATATCCATAGCAAATTTGCGTTGACTCAGAAATATACCAGAGGAGCTACGAGCAAATTCAATACCGAGAAAATATTTAAGTTTGCCAAGATCCTTGATTTTGAAACAAGAGCTAAGATGAATCTTAACTTAATCACAAGCAGATTTGTTGTTTCCGGCCAAAAGGATATCATCAACATATATAAGAACCGCAACGAAATCCTGATCTCTTGTGAAGGTGAACAACGTGTAATCAGCTTTGGATTGTTGAAATCCGAAATTAAGAAGAGAGTCACGAAGTTTAGCAAACCAATTTCGCGGTGACTGCTTGAGACCGTAAAGGGAACGTTGTAATTTGCATGTAGAGCCAGGAAAACCAACAGAAAAACCAAGACGAAAACGCATATACACTTATTCTTCAAGATCTCCGTGGAGAAAAGCATTATGAACATCCAATTGATAAATATCCCATCCTTTTGCAACAGCTACAGAAAGAAAAGTGCGTACACTCACCATTTTTGTAATAGGAGCAAAGGTTTCATATAATCTTCTCCTTCAATTTGGTTATTACCTGCAATAACTAATCTAGCTTTGTATCTTTCTATAGAGCCGTCAGAATGATACTTGATTCGAAAAATCCACTTACAAGGAATTGCTTTCTTTCCTGGAGGGAGAGAAGTGACAACCCAAGTGTGGTTATCCTCAAGAGCCTGAATTTCAAGTTTCATAGCTTGTTGCCAAAGTGGATCCTTCATGGCTTCTTTAAACGAATGTGGCTCAATGGTGTTACTAACAGCCGCTAAGAATTTTTGGTGTTGTGAGGAAAAATTATGATTAGTAACAAAGTGCTCAATAGGATAAAGAATACCTGAAGGAACGCTAGATAGAGTGTTAGCAGAAGAGGGTGTAGTAGCATTACGACAATAATAGTCTTTAAGATGTGCCGGTGGTCGATGAGATCTACTTGTACGTCGAAGAGGCATGGAAGATGGAGATGAAGTATCAATAGAACTCTCCCTTTCAACAGACTATAGATCAGGTAAATGTGCAACATCTGAAGAGGAAGTACGAGTATCATGTGGTTCATACAAAATCATAGATGTGGAAGTAGGATGTATGGGAGCTGGAGGAATGTCCGTGGTAGGTGATGCAAATGGAAATTCATCCTCAAAAAATTTAACATCACGAGAGACAAAAATCTCCTTTGTATCTAAATTAAACACCTTCCAACCCTTTTTGTTAGATGGGTAGCCTACAAAAACACATTTTTGTGAGCGTGCAGCAAACTTATCAAACGGTTTAGGCAAAACTGTAGCATAACACAAACAACCAAGGACCCTAATATGGTCATAACTGGGTGGAGTATCATGAAGTACTTCATAGGGACATTTTTCATTGAACAGTTTAGTGGGAGTTTGGTTAATCAAATGAGCAGCTGAGAGAATACATTCACCCCACAAGTCAATAGGAAGATGTCCATCAAATCGCAAGGCACGAGCCACATTAAGAATATGACGATGACGTCGTTCGACTCTACCATTATGTTGTGGCGTATATGTACATGATAATTGTTGAATAATGCCACGGTTTTCAAAGAAAGAACGCAGATGGGTAGAAACAAATTCAGTCCCATTATCAGTTTGAACCCTTTTAACCATGGAATTAAATTGAGTTTGCACCATTGTAATAAATTTTATTAAAGTAGATTATGCCTCATGCTTGTCATGTAAAAGATAGACCCATACATGACGACTGAAATCATCCAAAATAGTTAGAAAGTAACAAGCACCAGATGTAGAAACAGTTCTATATGGTCCCCATAAATCACAATGGATTAAATCAAAAGAGTGCAAACTATGCTTTTTATTGATAGGGAATGAATAGCGTGTTTGTTTGGCTCTACAACACACATCGGAAGAAACAATTTTATTTGAACTAGAAACAAATGGCAACAAATCCAAATAATGTTGAGAAGGATGTCCCAAGCGTCGATGCCACAAATTGAAAGAAGAGGAACCATGAGTCGCATTTACAGAAACTGATTGGCAAAGTACATACACCCCTTCATGCTCAACACCCTGTCCAATCGTCCTCCTCATTTGTAGGTCCTGTTAAAAACAATTAGAATTATTAAATACAACCATGCAGTCATTGGAGCGTAGCATTTGAGAGATAGAAATCAGGTTGCACGTAAGAGACGACACGTAAAGAATATTGGTAAGTAGCAACAGAGATGTAAGCCTAACATTCCCGCATTGAATTGCAAGAGTACGATCACCATATTGGGTAAGCCTATTGAACAAGGAGGGATGGTGCGTATGTTAGAGAGAAGAGAGACAATCCCAGTCATATGTTGGGAAGCCCCACTGTCAAGAAGCCAAGAGTGTTTGGAAGATACTGTACCACATAATTTTTTAGTGGGCATTTTGGAGGAAACAGCGATTGACATCAACCGTTGAAGCATTTCAGGAGTAAAATCAGTAATTGATAAAGGTTTGGAGGGGCCACTATCATCGGAAGATGCACCAGATTGAGTGGCATGAGCAGAAGCGGAAGCAGAGTGTCCTGTCGAAGTGCGACCACATCCACGGCCGCGACCAACAGGAGGGCGATCGGGGTAGCCATGGAGTTTGTAACAGCGAGAAACATCATGATTAGGACATCCACAATGAGTACAGGTTTTGTGGGTATATTAGTGGTGGTGGCACAACCTAACGCGTCTACAGGGTTCTCAAAAGAACGAACAATAACTTTATGTGATTCTTCTTGAGTAACCATAGCAAAAATGCGATTAACGGTAGGAAGTGGATGTGTTGTAGAAGACATGACGAAAAAAAAAATTAGGATCGTCAAGCTCTTGATACCATAATGAAAGTTGTTGTGAATCTGCAGCTTAACTTTATTATTTATGAAAACAGTCATTATATAGAATGACCGTAACAGAATTACAATCAAATAAAACAATTTCTAACAAATCAATCTTATCAGTAAAATTAATTAACAAACTATTTGTTATCAGATTAACAATATCAAAACAGATGAATCTTATCCTAATAATTTGAATAATTAATTCATTATGATTTTCGTATATATGATTGTGTTGTTAGAAAATCTGCTGCTACACACACTGACATGGATAACTGATTTAACAATCTTATATTTGTATAACTTTTTTCCTTTTATCCAGTTTTATCCCATATCTAAGCCTACACACGGTATAACTCAATACGATAGTTTATAATTGATGTCTTATCGAATATCATATTAATGACCTTTTTTTTGGATCCTGGACTCCTTTCTTACCCGAAAAATACAGACTCAAATTATATATAAATTTATCATGTCTCACTTAATTAAGTAGGATCAAATTAAGATAAAGGGAGTAACTTAGTTTAAGAAAACAACTCTAAAATATAGAGAGAAAGTTACAGATCGCATATCTATCTGACAACATTTATTGAATTATAATTGAAGATTTGTTTACCATTAGATTAGACGAATTTTTGGACAATAAATTTGTACGACATGATATTTTTATATTCAACAATTGAATAGTTAAAAAAAAGTATAAAGTGAGAGAAAGGTGTCTTGCAATAACAACTCTATTTTAGAGTTTTTTCATCTTCTTATTTTTCAATTTTTCAATTTTTCAATTATAAGCAATTATACTTAATTTTATTTTGCATAATTATAAGCATTATTATTTGATGCATTTTTTAAAGACTTTCACGTTAAAAAATATTTATCCCTTATATGCTTAAATTATCTATCTTTTGTTTTATTTTATTGGTGTTCCTCACATATTCTTGTAAGTAAAGGATTTTATTTTCCCTGCATTATTACTTTTTTTTTTAGAGTTGTTATTTTGTTGGAGTATCTCGTTGGACCTGCACAAGAAGCTACATCAGCACTCTGGTTTGCCTCAAGTTCCTCAACATCAAATGCAAGAACGAACAGTTGGATTAAACAATGATAATTAAACTTGTTACTCAATATCAATATTATTATATGAATATCAATAGCCTAGCTATAACTCTGGTCTAACAATGGTGTTGACTGTTGACTAAAGTTTAACATGCGTGGCTCTGAAGCACTCTTCATACAAATCTGTACAACAAGTGGTGAGTCAGTAGTTCAGCATATAAATAAGTAATAACTGAAGAAGCCCCTAAATTGCACGTACAACGAAGGTTCTGCATATGAACAAGTGGAAGAGAGCGCGGAATGTGCAATGTAACAATGTTCACGATATATGTGAGGGATTTAAGGAGATAATTTTAAATTAATGTATAAAAATCACTGTTAACCTTCTTCCACTAGCTCACTGAACTGGCGGCTTCCTCGCTGTAACTGCATTTATTTCGTCAGACTTAAAAATCGTTGACCTTCTTTTGTCTTGTTACGCAAAAAGTCCAATGAAAAACAATCAAATGATATCTTTTTTTATTAAATTAAATAACGAATATTATTATTTTATATTTTTATTATTAATTCTCTCATTTTTATTACAAATTTCATTAAATAGTAGTTTTCAATAAGTTTAATATCTTTAAAATAAAAGATAATTATTTTTATCTTAGTAACTAAAATATAGTAAATGTATTATATAAACATTTGAAATTACATTCCGTGGATTTTCGAAAAAAATATATTTTTTTGTGGACATTGATTTAAAATCATTTTTAAATAATAGGAGTGTAGATGTGACACTCTTTAAAGTTTTGTTTGTTTCAAAAGGCCTCATCCGAGGAAGTAATACTTTATTACACTAATCTATATAATTGAATGTTAGTTACACGTATGCCAACTATGGAAAAGCAATGCAAGTTGAAGGGTGTCTGAACATTTCATATTTCTTAATAAGTCAAATACTTTAATCACCTGTGAGGAAATGACCTAGTTAAATGTGAGTTGCACGTATGCCAACTATAGGAGTACGCAACTTGGACCCTTTAAGAAAATGCCTCTTGAGTTTTGCAACTTTTTTTTTTATCACAAATAGAATACTTCTAAATTTATTGTGAGTAGACAAATTAATATTTTTTTTGTAAGATAGTTTTTAACCGACGGGTATAACTTACAAGTACATAGGTGTCGTCTTTATGTGTATTTTTGTTAAGATAGACTTTTATACAACAATCAATGGAAAATATTAATTTATATACACAATAAACTAATATTAAAAACACATGCAGTATATCTTTTAGGCGTCAATTATGTGTTTATTATTTCATATATATATATATATATATAATATAATGTTAACTAATTTTTAATACTGTATTATTAACATAAATTTATTATATATATATATACATATATGAAATGTCTAATAATTAATTTTTTCTCGTCATATCCCTTATTAATAACATAACTCTTATGTTATATTTTGATAGTTATTAAACATTATTATCAGATTGTGATACTGGGTTAAACTCAATATGAAATTATGGAAATAAAAAGAATCTAATATAAAACCTCGACATTGATCGCTTATCATTGATAAAAAGATGTTTTGTTCTTAAGTCGCGACATTTTTGGTTAGAAAAAATATCACTAATTATTGCAATAGAGTAAGAAAAAACTCGGTTTCAGACTATTGACACTAATCTATTTTTCAAAAAAA